TCCCACCAAGGCAAGCAGGATGGATTCCCATCATCCTCAGCTGGCTGGCAGCTGTGAAAATACCCCTGTAGTCAGGGAGTCCTTACCCTTTTGTAGCTCTGACTCACTGAAGTTGTTCACAGCCAGAATACACAGCCCTGCTGCCAGCTTTCCTCTATGTTTCACCCCTGTTCTATGGGCTGAAGGGTAAATGATGTATTTGGGGGAAACAAGAAAGAATGGAGCCTTCTGAGTCCCTAAAGGAACCTGGCAGGGAGATCGAGAGGCACAGACATGGCCGTGTCCAAGCTTCCCTGTAAATGAGTGATTTTTGAGAAGTAAAAATTTCCACAGTTTTGTGTACAAGTCTGAAGGTGTTGGAAATCCCCAGATCATCCTGATGGGGACATTAAAGGACTGCATGAATCTACACAAGAACATTCAGAATCTTCCCGAAAATTTTGGCGCATGTGTACCTGTCACTTGGCAATTCTATGCCTTTTTCATATGAAACAAGCTGCCAGCTGAAGGGCTGCTGGCTGCTGTGTTACATGTGTTATACTTACAAAAATATTTTATAAGGTGAAAAGCTGAGCAACAGTTTGCAAGCGCAAGCTGAATGTATTTTTTATATCTGTGTCTGTGGGATGTTCAGGGGAATGAGGCACATTAAGGATAACTGACACAGATTGTGTTCTTAATGTGTCACTGACCTCTTAATGCACTCTGAAGTTCTGGAGATAAAGCAAAGATGGGATGGACTTCATGGGTGCTAGAATGTCTGTTCAGCCACTACAGCAAGACTGATGTTAAGAACTGCTTAAATCTAGATAATTTGAATGGACCAGAGATGGTTATAAACACTCTTCTGAATAGGAATGTGTTTCCAGTTCGGGAAATATAGATTTGGGTGCTGTGCTTAAAAAGGGAAGGAAAAAGCTGCAGATAGCGGGTCTTTTTGATTTTTTTTTTGTTGGCTTGTTTTGGTTTTTTGTTTTGGGGTTTTAGTTTTGTTTATTTTTTGTTTGGTTGTTTTTTTAAATTAAAATGAATTTTCATGAGAAATATTGATGTTTCCAAGCCGTTGGGAAGTTTTCTTTCTGATCAACACTTTCTATTTTTTTTTCCAGGCCTCAGTCACTGAAAAATGAGCCCAAAGAGGAAAGGCAGCCCAAGGCAACCCAGCTAAATCCTGCTGGAGAGGAGAACAGAGAAGATGGCCAGAGAGATGAGGGTGAGCTGGCTGCAGGAGGGAAGGAAGGAGGGAATGGGCTCTGTTCTCTGCTGGCAGGGCACCTGCAGGGGATGTGGTAGCAGCCCTCAGACAGCACTAAATGTAGAGCTGCCCCTGAACAGAGTTAGGTGCAGAATGTTTGCAGAGCCAGAGCAAATACTTGGGTAGCTAGCCCATGAGCGCCATGCTGCCAGGACTGCCCAAACCTGGCAGCTCCCGGTGTTTGCAAGGGGCAGCTACACCCACACAGGCTGCAGTCACAGCTGGCCAGTACAGCCACCCCACAGGTGCCTTTGGAGCCTACAGCATTTCAGTAGATCCTGACTTCTCTATGGGCCACAGTGCTGGAAGAAAAGTTAATCAGTTCATGCTCCTGTTGTATCTGAACAAACCCCTTCACATTTTACATCAGCTTGCTTTCCACCGGGCTCCATCACAAAGCACTTTTACTCCTGCCCAGGCTCACAGCGCGGCCTGCAGCCCTTTATGCTGGGGGCTTGGAGAGTTCACAAGGCGGTGCAGGCTCTGGCAAGGCAGACAGTCACAGTTTAATTTCCTAACAGATACAATCGAAACAGCCACAGATTTTCGGGGCATTTCTGTGCCTTTCTGAGCCTCTCGTGTGGCAGCGGGAAGCTGTGCTGCCTGTGCAGATTTAGCCAGGTTTTCCAAGAGGGAAATGCGCAGCAAATAAAGGAACTGGGATGCAAAAGAGTGGCAGCTGCTTTAGGACTGTTAGAGAGGCTCTTTTATGGACGAATGAACCGTCAATTTGTAGTAAGACATTGTTTTCTAAACATAGCATGAAAACTGTTATCTTGCCTGGCTGGTCATTAGAAGAGAGATAATTATAGTCCCTGTGCGACAGCCGGGCCCAGAACAGGGCCTGCATTGTCCCGGGCCCAGCTGAGCACAGGCACAGGCTCCCCAGGCAGCGCTGGGACAAGGGGGCTCCTTGTGCCCCGGCAAGTTCAAAAGAGGAATTGAAGTGCTCTAAGTAGGTGTTAAGCACCTATTTCTCTCTCCGACTCTGGACTTAGAAATCTACTCCACAAGAGAAAGATGTGGAGGGCAGATCTGCAACTACTGTAGCTGCAGCCTCCCTGCTTTTTGTACAATCCATGCTATGATTATTATTTTTCTTTTATTAAAAAAAAAAAATCAAACCCCAAACCATCAGTTTTGCCGTTCTGTGTTTCTGTTTTTCAACAGAAATACAGATTAATGGAATCTGTATGATGGACAGGTTTTCAGAAGGAAGGACATATTACATGTTCAGTGTCCACTTCCTGAGCCCTGAATGAGAAACCTAAATCTCAGGTGATGCTGCAGCAGGCTGGAGGAGTCCTGGTGTGTACCCAGAGCTTCAGGGGGCCAGAGCATCTCTCCAGGACTGCCAGGAAATTCCAGGCTTTTGTTTTTCATTACCCATGCAGAAAAGACCCTGCCACCCCAGCCAATTGCAGTGGGCCAGCACACACGTTGCTGCCCTGGCCCCTGCCTATGCCAGTCCCACTATAGGGGCAGTTCATGGCTACAAGTGCCACTGCACTGTTTTTTTTTCGGGAATACAGACAGAGTTGCAGGTAGAAAACTGAGTTATCACTTTTTCTTGCTCATTTTAACCAGGTGCCTTAAATGACTTACCTATCAACACTTAAACTGAAAGAGAGTAGGTTTAGATTAGATATTAGGAAGAAATTCTTCACTGTGAGGGTGCTGAGGCACTGCTACAGCTTGGTCAGAGAAGTTGTGGATGTCATGTGAAGGGTTTTCTGACTAGAGGTTTATTTGTGGCTCAGAGAGGGAAAGGGAAAAGTTGAAAATTCTCCAGGCAGACCAGATTCAGTCAAGTTTTTAATGCCATTGTTACATAAACATTGGTTTTATTTTTAGCAATGTTTTCTAAGAGGCAATGGCCAGAAATAATAAATAATTCCGACATTTCGCATGAAGTAATTGGTCTGGTTTTCAGCTTCTGTGTTCATACTGTGGCTCAGATACTGCCCTTTTAGAAGTACTCCAATTAATTTTGAGCAAAAAGAGTGTTATAATTCATTTCCTACTTCTTCTGTGAAAGTAAGTAACTAGGTGAAAAGGGAGCACCTTGTCAATGTCTTATCTAAAGGAAAGGCTTTTGTAGGATCTTATCCTTATTAGATAAAAGAGAATCCAAGAGGACCATCTTTCTTGCATTCCAAGTGTGAGGAAACCTGGTGTAGCTAGTAAAACTACTTGGTTCAACCAGTCAGTGATAAGTGCTGCAATTAGACCACTAGGGAAAGTAGTGTCTTACATTAAGTAAAGGTAGGAGCAATTAAAGACCAAGTTAAGAACATAATATTACTACTACAGGTGGAAACACAGTATTGGCAGGACGTTCAAAATATCTTCTTAAAAAACTACTTTTTATGTACTGAATAACTGAAAGACAGGAAGTCCTTTTTGTCATCCTAGTGAGAACTACCCCAGCAACTCAAAGCATTCAGTAAATCATGCAAGCAAAGTAAGTCTGTTTAATATAAGATACTAACTTAATATTTGAAAATCAATGTGTTTGTAATGCAGTTATTTTTGCTTGAGTTCTCTTTGAATCTCTGAAGGAGACCAGTCTTACAGCCACGATGTCATTCAAGTGATGAACTGAGTAAAGTCTGAAGAATATGGTAACACTGAAAAACATAGATTTTCTTTGAGTGTAGACAAATGCAAAGTGTTTTTAACTTCAGGATATATATAGGAAAACACAAGCTATAAACATATACAACTCCATGGCTTTTCTCAGTAAAATGTACTTTAAAAGACATCTAAACAAAATTTTCTCTGTGTGTGTTTTCTTGTTTTGATGTTTTGCTTAAATTTTGGAGAGGTTAGAGAAAAACCAGTGTGCTCTAAGGAGGACTTGCCTCTGTAATGTGTAATTTTGCTTTTTGCTCTGCATGTGGTGTAGTTCCCATAAACTCTAGGAACAGAATATTAACTAGAGTTGATATTTAGCTTGGGGCATTTTGTTCATGTTTGTACTGGTTGGAGAGAAATCACATTTTGAAGAGACTTATCAAGACTCTAATCTCTCTGCAGAGAGCTGAGTGGCTGTGGCAGGCTTGACAATGCTATTCATTTTTGGAGCCTCACCACCAAAACAAGCACTCAGCACAAAAGGATGTATAGAGTCCAGGCTACTGTACTGTTCATGCTCTGTATCTATCCATTACTAAGAGAGTTCACACCACAGAAACACACATCCCTGGAATAATACCATTTTCTACTCTGTGCCTTGGAGATTAGTGTTCCCCAGTGTCAGGTAGTGTTTATTAAGGGCACAACACACATCTTCCTATTGATTAAAAAGAGTTGGTGAAAAAGTCTTGAAACCAAAACAGTTTTAAACTGAGGAACAAGTTGCATTGTCTACCACAAACTATTTGAACAGAAGGCTTGAATAAATGTCTATTGGTGTGTGGCTTATATACATCATTCTTTATCACATAGTTAAGCCCTTGCTGTTCAGGCAGTGAGTATATGTGTCCACTTTAGCAGCAAGGGCTTAATGCTTTCATAAATACTTTATGAAGTATATATGAGTAAAGTACAGTTTCATTCTACATTTATATCTTCATCTTCTTAGGTCTTTGATCCTAAGCACACAGCTGGAATGCTAAATAAAACATTATGTCCCTACAGTTTCTCAGCACTGAAAATATTTAACTATTATCAACAGGCAAAAAACACAACTTTCCCCTCTCCCCCCTAAATAAATATAGCAGAAAAACAACATCAGAATTACCTTGCTGGAGGTGTGCAACTTTTTATTCCTTTTCTCCACACAGTATGAAAATGGGTTTTTTTCCAAGCTTTTCTGTATCCCAAACTCCAGCCAACATTATTCTAGAGAAGGAGAGGCAGGCAGCAGAGGGAGGCCTGGACACCTTTTTTCTTTCAGAGAGGAGCTAATCAAACATTCCCATCAAGCTCCGAGCTCTGTGAAAGGCACATTGCTCTCTCTCCCCCCTCCCTCCCTCTGCTCCTCTCTCCCTCTCTGTCTCTCTCTCTCTCTCTGTCTTTCCCTCCCTCACACACAGACTGCAGAGCTCCTTACACTGATTTAGCAGCTGAATTAGGCGGTCCTATTTTAAATATACGTTCCCTCCCACATATTTTTGGTAGGGATTTCTATGCTCCTTTTGCACTAGCCTGTCAGATTTGTCAAGTTTTTCTCTTTTGGGAAGTGAAGCTTTACTCAGCTGATGTTGTGGCTCATTTTTTTCAGTCTCCCCATGCAGTTCAGCACTGTGGTGAAATGACTAGAACTAGTAGATGAGAGTAAACCACACAGCCTTAAAGATTATAGCTGCCAGATTAGTTAGATGCAGATCAGGTTTAAAGAGAAAAAATATCTTTTGAAGAGCCAGACTGTGATGCCTTTACTTATGTGAATAGCATCATATTCCCCCAGCAGTTTCCCTGAAGACAGAGGATTAGTGACAGAATAACTCTGCAAGTCTGGGCACAGAGAAGTAGAAGTATGGCATGAGGGTTCTTTCTGATGAAGCTGGATGTGAGGATTTAATAAAATGTTCTCAAAGGCTAATAAACTGGTACTTTTTAAGTGTGACCTGGCCAAATGAGATATACAAAAAGAGTAATTTCTTTAAGTATCTGTATGCAGATCTCCTAAAATTCTTGGGTAACTTTAAGAAGAAAAATGTATTAAGATAATCAAGATCATAGCATTTATGGGATTATCACAGAAAGTGCTGGTATCTTGTTCCAGGATACTAGAATGTAAACTATAATTTGCAATTCCATTTAGGTATTTGGAAGCGTATAGAAAACATCCATGGCTGAACATACACTGTTTAATCTAAGATCATTGTGGATGAAAAAAAAAATCTAGTATAAATACAGGAGACTTACAAAAACACACATTAGAAAGACATGCAATTCCTGATTTAACAGTATCCTAAATGCCTTTAGTTCAAAGGGAAGGTGATTACCTGGTACTTGTAAATATCTACGCCACTACCTGCAGAAACTGTGTAACAGCTCAGCATATTAAAAAACAGTGCAATATCAGAAGTTTATCAACAAGCTCTAACTGTGTTACTAAGATATAATGATCCATAATTTGCTTTATTCTCTTAATACAGGAGCTCTGGCTTGCCATGGTGAGTCCATGCAAGGCAGGATGCACTGGACTGGCAAAAAGCCTCTTCAGACAGCCTCTTCAAAACCTTTTCAGGTTTTTTCAGTAGATCTTCTAGGTAGTTCTGCTAACAGATCTACTGAAAAAACCTGAAAAACCTCCCCCTGTCCGGTTTATCTTGGCTGTTTGAGGGGCCTGGAAAGGCCCGAGGTGGCCTTGGGGCAGCCCGCGTATCGAAGGACGAGAAGAGGCTTCAGTTCTTCTTTCGGTTTTTATGTTTATTAATTGTTTATCTAAAAGATTTTCTTTCAGCCGAACAGAGATCTGCTCAGCAGTCAGCCATGAGCACACTGTCTGCCCTCCGGGGCAGCCACCTATCTTTATACCCATTGTTACGTGTACAATATTTATCATTTTTCCCCAATACCATTTATTCTTATTACTCGGTGCACTCTCAGTAATAACCAATCCAAAAGTGCCACCATGGCCAAAGAAGATGGAGGAGTAGAAGAAGAAGAAGGAGGACAGGACACACCCCAATTCCTCCATCTTACTTCTCTAAACCCCCCTGTACATAAATCCTAAACCCTGTTTCTCACCCTCTAATTAACTAATCCCTTCACCATTCACCCCGGTGAAGCCCTCATCCTTGTCGTCTCCTGTGTAGGACCAAAGTCCAGCCACCAGACACTTCTGGCAACATTCCAGGACTCCCAAGCCCCCCAAGGGTGGTCTCGGTGGCTCAGCACCTCAGGACTGAGATCCTGAGATCCAACATCCCCCCACTGTCCCAAGTCTTACTAATTCAAGTTAACAATTTCAGGATATCATCACCTTTTTTATAAGGCTTTGTGAGGTTTGATTATTCAGATAATGAGGGACAAAAGGACCAAGACCTTAGGACTACAGGTTTAGAGATGTATAGGTACAAGGGGATAAGTATCTAACTACTTGGGTTCTGTAGCTAAGTGGCTATGTGCCACTTCCCAGTGCTGTTGAAAGACTGAACTCTCCATGACAACTCCTTACCTGCAGATGCTGATAAATAAAAATCTTTGGGCACAGACCTTCACTGGTCTTTAGCAACTTTCTATTCAAGCTGCTTGTTTTCAGAAATCCATGGGAATCTATGTAGATGTTCATTTGCCTGTATTGCTTTACAGTCTCAGGTCAGTGGGTTACCAAGGAATCTTGATCTCAAACCAGAGCAAGTGAGAGGACTGAAGACTGAGCTTCTGGCAAACCAAACCATGATTGGGTGGCAAAGGCACCTGCAGAGCATGCAACAGGACTGCATCAAACCAGCTGGACTGGTGTTGTTGAGTGATGGAACAGAGAAGCCAGACACAGCAGATGAGTGGGATGATGGTACAGGCAAAAAGTCCTGCTGAGGTTCAGCTCCTGCTGCCCATGTCAGCTCACTGAGGGTTGTAGCTGTTGGCATGTGGAACGCTGTCAACAAGGCGTCAAAGCAAGAGCAACAGGGCATGACCAAGGTCATGCTTTTTTGTTGGTGCTGCAGAGTGGCAGTTTTACAAAAGAAACAGCTGATAGATCCACTTTTCATTTTCCATGGATGAATTATCTTATTTGTGGGTAAATTATACCACGGGCAAAGAGCCAGCGTGGTCCTGGCAGGACTTTGCTCAAATGCAGTGGTGTGAGAACACAGCTTTGTTGCTTCCAGAAGAACAGCAATGATGCAGCCCTGTCCACTCTGCACCCACCTTGCTCTCCCAGCCTTGCTGGCTCCACTCCTGGCTCAGGATCAAGAATGCTGCCAGTTGGGTGGCACATTTCTGCACTGCTGCCTGAGAACTAACCTGGCATCCTGGAAATGAGCATCCCAGGAACTGTGAAACAGAAACACTGAGTAGGCAGAAAAAGAAAACTATCTGGTTTGTTGTTATTCAGGGTATTCAGCCTCTCATTATCGATTGTAATGGAGAACTGAGGAGTATCAAAACAAAAGATCGAGGAGGGCACTGACTGTCTCTTTTTATCACAACATTTCTGAGTGCCGTCGCCTGCGCTCTTTTCTGACAGAGGCAATTTCCAGCCACCCAGGAGCTGACAACACAAAGAGCAGAAACAAGAGGTAAACCATGTTGAATGGCTCTGCTTTGGTACTGGGATTTGCCACAAGGAAAGATTTGTTTGTAAAAGAGATGGCTGTGCAGTCAGGAAGCCACTAATTTGAAGACAAAAGGTATTGAACATGATTATCTAGGGGATGGACAAGTGCTCACTATCTGTACGTGTTCATGTGTTCCACCATTGCTTCTAGTCTGAGGCCTCCACCTCAGTTAGTTTTCTGCCAACTCTTAGTAGTATTTCTGGTAGTAATTTTAAAGTTTTACTGTGCTCTATTTTCATGTGCATGTTAGTTAAAGCAGGATTTATCATGATCCATTGAAACAAAGCCTGAAAGCAAAATAATGCAGACCTCTTATTTGTCCCTTGAAGCAGCCAGTGAATATGACCAGAGAGTCAAAGAGAGTTGAAAAGGTCCTTTAGTTTTTCAAGAAAATGTAGTGACCTGTTCAGATATTACCTTCACTCTGGAAGATAGAAGAAAGAGAGATAAGATATATGTAGGCAATGTTAGCTCTGACAGAGGAGATAACTGGCCAAGACTCAGTAAGGAAGTTTGGTATTTTCAAATAGAGGTAGCAGCAACCTGGAAAACTAGACACTTGCTGATAGACCTTAGTCACAGACCTTTAAATAAATCTGCATTTTGAGATCATCTGTCATGCAGAATTTTCAAGGCACACAGTGTTTATTACCCACTGCTTTGGGTAAGAACTAGGTGGTGGCAGCTGAAAATCTGACTTCACTGAAGGGAAGCTCACTGGACTTAATCTAATCCTCATTAAAATCTGACTTCAACAGTTTTTAACAAAGCATTTTTAAATAACATAACTAGTGGACTTACATATTTAAACCAACACAAAAATGTAGGATTCCTCATGCTTCCCTCTTTCTGCATGCACTCATTCACAGGTAAATGAAATTGGGAAAACCTCCCCTATTTTGAAATGCAATTAACTCACATGTTCTGGGTTTGATGCTCACCAGCTGGTATGGTCCCTGATCTGAGAAGAGGCTACTGTGAGGGAACCATCAGAAAAAGCTGTAGTTTTGCACTTCTTGTGCTTACATGTCTAAATTCAGTCCGAGTTCATTACTGACTTGGTCCATTGTCTTTTGATCATAGCTGGCGTTTCTGTAGTGATTCACATGAATAGGTCAAACTTTTGTGGAAAGAGGAAGAGAGAAAGGTTTTACTGTGTAGTAGGTTCACAGAGTAGGTCAAAATCTAAGTGAGAGCAGAGGATGGTGATTTCAAAGGCCATAAATTGCTTCCAAGAGGTCTGTGCAAAGGGCTGACAGGCATATAGATCCTGTGGAGCAGGTGTGTGCCCCAGTCCAACCCATTCTGTTCCTCTCCCCAGCACTCGGGAGGAATTTTGGCTCTGCTCCTGTAGGCATAGGCAAAGAAAATACTCTTCAGGTATGTTATAAAACAAGATATGCCCACACAATTTTTAGAGAAATCCAACCTTTGTCTGGGAATTTTTTCACACTGGAAGGTAGAGAGTTTCTCACATACCAGATCTTTGTCCTACTTGTGAGACCCAAGGTGAACACTGCTCATCTGGCACAAGGCTGAGGCCGCTCACTAAAACCATGGAATCATTTGCTCTCCAGGTTATGAATAGGAAATATATGAGACTCAAGACTGAACTAACTGGCTTGTGATCATTACACAGAAAGTGCTGAATGTACCTGCTCAGCTGATCAGTGTGGGCTTAGTAAGGCAGTCCTGACTCTGCATACAAGGACAGAAAACAGACAAATTAAATGATTTCTGCAGGACAATATGTAGCTGTGTCACATCTAATCCCATCCAGGTGTTTAAACGGAAAGGAAAAAGTTTTCT